ATCTAACACCCAAAGTTTAATATTTACATGCATAGCGCTTGAATCTTTAATATCACATCAAAAATATCATTATCACCTACTTTTTAAAAGTGGAATACACTTTCATGCATAGATTTATCAGATCAAAATGTTGTAAATATAAATATGAAAGTTTCCGTCTTAAAGTATGTAAATACATAAGAATTGTGGTACGTACGTAAATTTCACAAAACTTATATGATCCAACAAGCCGATTTTGCATCATTGCCCAGGCAGTAGGGTAGAAATCATTCCCAGAAGTGAAAGTCTAAATGTAGTTTTCATAAGAATCAGTTGGCATAATTACTAATCCGAAGATCATAAATTTATCTCATGGAGGCCTTCACAAAAATTACACGAAAGCAAAATTCATTAATTATGCTTCTCAGGCTTCAGAACACCGATGTAAGGCAGGTTTCTGTAGATCTCAGCAAGGTCCAGGCCATAACCAACCACAAATTCATCACCACACTGCAAAAAAAGAAAAGAGGAGACTTATATTATAATAGACGAGGGATAATGAAAATAAAAATAAACAATATGACAATGGAACATTTTGCATTTTGCTTGTAATTCAAGAATCAAAAAATAAAAATATGGCTGGCAACCAGAGGGAAGTTCAGCTTCTTCTCCATTCATACCAAGGCAATGAAAACAATGAAGGAATCCTTGATTGATGAATAAAGTTTTAATTTTAGACATGGAAGACATGTGTAAGGAAGCTTTGGTGGCATGCTTTCAATATAGGAAAGACTCGGTGACAAATTCCATGCTTGTTACTTTAACAAGTTCAAAGAAAATCACTGGTTAATTTTCCTTACTCACCCTCCTCTCATCAAGATCTCGGCCACTAACCCAAGAACATCCCTAAACTCTTCCCTTAGCCACCACAAGCATCTAATTAAGTCCTTCCATCCATATCACAAACCCCAAAATAAAACTTCCCAAGTTCCAACTTTTCAAACCTTATTCCACCATCTTACAAGCCTCCGTGACTCCCCCACCTTCCCTACGACTGTTCTAAGCCTTGTTAAACCCTTCCCCACTCTTGGTCATATCCACTAAAAGCTGTGTCAAGCCTAACACACCATTAATTCCACATAAGGCAACCCCTTAACTTTTACCCAAGTCTTTTAAGAACTTCAACAATTTTGCACCGAGCTATCACCAAGCTACAATGTGTTTCACATCTCAAGGCCCTTTTCCGATTAGAAGGGGATGAGAGAAAAGAGATAGAATCATTTCATTCATGATTAACACAATTACATCACTTTCCGCACTATTGGAGGGAAAATTCAAATTACATTATAATGAAAAAAATTATTATACTACAACAACAACAACAATAACAATAACAACAAGCCTCTATCCCACTAAGTGGTGTCGGCTGCATGAATCCTTTTCTCCATTGCGTCCTATTGAATTTCATATTTTCATTTAATTCTAAATTAAATTAAGATCATTTTTTATAAATTAAGATCATTTTTTATACAATATGCCCAAATCTTTCTAGGTTTACCTTTGCTTTATTAACATAATTCGAATCTAAAGCATCTATTTTCCTAACCAGATCATCAGATGGTCGATGTTCAATGTGACCAAACCATCTAAGACGACTCTGTTTAATTTTGTCCGCCATAGGAGCTACACCAAACCTATCACGGATATATTCATTTCGCATTTTGTCAAGTGTAAAACCACTCATCCACCTAAGCATTCTCATCTCGGCAACACTTAACTTAATTTTATGCTTCTCTTTTAAAGGCCAACATTCTGCACCATAGAGGCACCATAAAGCATTGCAAGTCTCACCACCGGTCTCAACACCATCTTATAAATTTTTCTTTCAGCCTTAGCGATACTTTTCTATCTCACAATAGACCTGAAGCATTCCTCCACTTCAACCAACCAACTTGAACTCTACTGATAACATCCCTAGGGTAGTAAATGAACCAATGCATTCGATGAACAACTCGAACTCGACGTGATTAAGACTCGATCATGTTCGTTCAAATTAGTAAATAAACAAGCTTGAATAATTTTTTAAAACTCAGCTTAAATGAACTAAAGATGAAGATAGTTGAATTTGTTCATTTATTTTCACGAACAAACTCGTTTGTTGTTCAACCAGCAACTTGTTACATATTAGATATGAAGCTTGAATATAGCTCATATCGTATATAATATATTATTTAAATAAAATTTGATTTGTTAGAATTTATCTAATTATAGATTTTATAGCAATATGTTATTATATCAATAATATTTTTAGATTATTTCTTAATTATATTTTATTTTATTATTAATTATTAAGTATTTACAAATTAGCATGATGAAATTCTAAAAGAGAACACTTTTGTCCATTCATTTTTATTATGCTTGATCAGACCGCCTTTGATTTTTCTCATATATTTTAACAATCGATGAATAATGTCACATTATGAGTTACTTCGTCATACTAGTTCATTTAAATTTTTTTGTTTTCTATCATTATTTTTTTATCTATATTAGAATTTATTCATGTGAGAATATATCTAATATAGATACTAGATAACAACATATAAATTAGTTTAATTGTTTATATCATATACAAGTTATACGGTTTATTCATTTATTTATTTATTTAAATTTGTAAAATTATTTTTTATATAAAAATCTAGATATTCGTTTGAATTTTTAGCTCTTTTAAATACTTTTTCACTCGTCATAAACAAAACAAGTTCAAACATTGAAAATTTTAAACAAGTTAAGCTTAAAAAATATGTGAAAGCTTAACTCAAACTCAAGCCAAAAATGAACAACTTATAATTGTATCAAGCCAAATCCAAACTATGATATACTTGGCTCGGCACAGCCGATTACAACCATAAAAAGTCTCATCTATATCACTATCACTTTGAACAATAGACCAAACATTCACACATTTTAATAATTTGAACACTCACGGTCACAACTGTGTCACTAGAGCTAAACTATTAAAATTATATTCCATGTATTTAGTTTTAGTTCAACTCAAGCGAAGGCTTTTAAGCTCCAATGTAGACCTTCATAATTCAAATTTTCGTGAGCTCTTTCTCTAGTTTTATCCACAAGAAAAATATCATCAACAAAAAAAGTATACACCAAGGTACATCTTCCCGTAAATGTCCACTAAGAGCATCATAACTAAAGCAAAAAGGTATGAGCTTAAAGCCCATCCAAGATGTAATCCGACTGAAATAGAAAAATAATTGATGAATCCTCCTTTTATTCGAACTATACATATCTTTAAAGACTTGAATATAAGGGTCTGTTTGGGGCAGCTGCAGCTTAATAATAAGTTGTTACATAACAACTGTCGTGGGAAGCTGCTGCGCAGAAGCTGTTGCGGATAAGTTATTTGTTTTTTGCAATTTGAAAGCAATTGTGCCTCAGTTGTTTACGGACAAATTACTATTCTTCATCTGTATAGTAATTTTGCTTGCAATAGAACTTTCATACCAATATATTTTATACTTTAGAAACAAAAAATCTAGTGATGAATAGTACAAAAAAAAGAAATATATCTCACTTGACAGTATCATGATTACTAAAATTAAGAAAGACATTAAAATAACATTAAATAATATGATAATATTATTTTTAAAATACAGAAGGTATATGTCACGAGCTATAAGCCGTCCTCTATGGATACTCCATCCCCGATCACTCTCGGTGGCGGAATCTTCCAGTCAATCTGCCCGCCGAAAAAAGCCACAATTCTCCCGTAGCTATATTGCTGACGTGAAGTTAGCATGGAACATTGAAGTCCACAGTAGCACTGCAATCCTCGAGAGATACCAAAAATTCTCGAGTACATCTTTCCTGAATGTTTTGAAAGACAACTTATTAGACAGAGAACTCAGAATATCAACCAACGAATTTGTCACTACAATAAGACAGCAGACCTTATACGAAAAAAGGTTTGTGGTTGTCTTTAAATTACATAAGATCAAACTCATGTATGTCACATATGTAGAAGGACCTCAAAAACTGTAGCACCGAAAAAAAGAGAAAAACTTGGTTGTATTCCTTATTATTTCACAAGTGACACTATTGACCTCATTTTTGGTGAGGTATTGGGTTTTTTCTCCTCGGACCTAAGGTCTAGCTTTAGAAGTTCCTTGTTGACCATCTTAGAGGACTAGTATTGGAACCCACCTCACATAGAGCTTCAAACCACTTCTTGACTCATTTTTGTGAAGATCTCGCATGAGTAGTCCCACACACTCAACTCTTAATTGCAAGGGATAAGTACTAACATGTAGAAGACCCAAAAATGAGTTTCTATAGGATCAAGAGGTCTTAGGTGAACCCTTCGTGGCTCGGTTATGTAAACACTACAATTCACACATTTAGCAGGCATAAACGTAACAACTCAAGTCATTAACATTCACACACATTGCACAATCAATTAAACCAAAATCAGTTTTCAAAATGATCCATCACGAACTGAAAATTCAAAAAAAAATTAAATTTAATGCATTTTGACCCGATCATCGACAAACTTGTCCAAACGGCCCTGGATGACAGAACAAACCATGCGAGCACGTCCGAAACGTTGATTTTAGCTAAGAAAAACACTCATATTGTTATGGTTTTGCGCGCGAGCGAACGATACAAAAATCGATGCACATTAATATTTAATTAAGGGGTGCGGGTTCAGGCTCAGCCCAACTTCACTTCGGGCTGGACATGGGCTAAAAACAGACTAAATAGTTTCGAATTTTAAATTTTCAAATTTCGCGCGAGCACGTCCGAAACGCCGATTTTAGCTAGGAAGGACACCCATATTGTTATAGTTTCGCGCGCAGGCAAATGACACGAAAATTGAAGCACATGAATATTTAATTAAGGGGTGCGGGTTCAGGCTCAACCAAGGTTCAATTCGGGTTGGACATGGGCTGAAAACGAGCTAAATAGTTTCGAATTTCAAATTTTCAAATTTCAAATGAGTCATTTAGTCTCATATTACTTGAATGTAATTATGAGTTAAGATTTTCCAATTTAGCAGATTGCATGAATGGAATCTGTTCAATTCCCCGCGTAATCTTGCGCAACGTCCACTTTGAATATTACGGCTATACAATTCGACGGGCTTTATCTTTCTGGCATTCGACCCCCTCTTCTTCTCCCGCCCGTCTCTTCTCCTATGCACTGAAATCCCTTCGCCTCTTCCTCGCTGGACAGAAACCCCCACTCCTCTCTGCGATCCGAAGCCTTCGTCTCCCCTCCTCTGCGAACCGAAGCCCTCGCCTTCTCTCGCGCGGCCTGAAGCCAGCGGCCTCTCTACAACGAACCCATCTTCCCCCCTCCTCGCGCCCGCACCCTCACTTGCTCCCCTCTCTCGTGCGACCCAAACAACCCTCGTCAGCTTTGCCTCCTCTTCCTTGCGCCGAAGACCCCCGCTCAAGACTTGCCTGCTTCACCTCCCCCTCTCTCGACCGAAGACT